ATAGTTTTTTCATCTGATGGTTGAATTCTGCCGTCCTCAATAATATATCCTAAAAACGTTACTCTTTTCTGTAAAAATTGCACTTTTTCTTCTTTATCTCTAAGCCGTAGTCCCTAGCTACTTCGAGTACTTGCTTTAAACGCACAACTCCTTCTTCTTCGGATTTACTTAAAACTATTATGTCATCCATATTCTTAGATGTCAGCTCTCTAAATATGTGGCTAATAAATATTTTAAACACTGCAGGACTATTACATAATCCGAACAGACACCTTAAAAATTCGTATTGTCCGTCTGGGGTGACGAATCCAGTGTATTTAATGCTATCTTCCTCTATTGGTACATGGAAGAATCCATTCTTTAGGTATATTGTGCTAAAATATTCTGCACCTTGTAACCGATCCAATACGTCTTCTATTAAAGCTAATGGAAACCTATATTTTCCGGTTAAGTTTTCAGTAATCACCGCAAACTCGGATCTGTCCGTCTTTCTTTTTGACGAGTACAATTGGACTTGCAAAATCGGATGTACTAGGTCGAATTATTTTTTTCTCTATCTATTCCTCAATTTGCTTACCTACTTCTTGCTTTTCTGGTATTGATAGCCTTCTTGGGTTTTGGTGCATCGGTTATTCGTTACTTAGAATTATTTTCATTTTTATATCTGTAGTCTTGGTCTGTTGCGGTTCATAATTTTCCACTAATTCTTTTATCTCCATCTTGATATTTTGTCTTTTATATGTTGCAGTTGTAAATTATCATCGTGTGTCGCCTCGTCAGCGACAATCCTCATTAACATATTATCTACTTCTTTTTTGCATACAATAATTCCATCTTCGGTTATGGTAACCTCTGCTTGTTTTAGTATATTGTTTCCAAGAATAACTTCGACGTCTAGTGCTCCTTTTGGGATTACATGAAATAAAATATGAAAATCTTCGCCTTGAATTTCCACTATTATGTTAAAAGAACCTAAAGTTTTAACCTTAATTCCTCCTAATCCATTTAACTCTACTATATTCTTTATAAGAATTACGTCATCAAAGTGCTTTTCAAAAATATCTTGTCTGATTGCACTTATGTCACTTCCTGTATCAAACAATGCACGTAACGATATTCTTCCAAATTTTAAGGTCACTGAGTTTTTGTACACCACGTCAATGACATTTACCTGACCAGAAGTCGGTCTATATTCTTTAGCATTGCATCGAGAGGAAACGTGTGCAAATTGGTTGCATTTGAAGCATTTCGTTCCCTTGGCTTTATCAGGGCAATCTCTCGGTCTGTGCCCTCGATTTCCACAATTATAACATTGTTCTTCTTTCTTAATCCTATTTTCCGACATTCCCCTGTCATCTCCTCTAGCTTCATTGTTTCTGCCGCCTCCCCGTACTTCATTGTTTGTCCACTTCCTTCTATGCGTTTCAGTTGTAGAGTATTTGTGTGTCGTCTGTTTTTTAATGAGTTCATACAATTTAATTTTTTCCTTGAAGTCTCTGAAGTTGTTTGCGCCATAAAGCATAACTTTATTAACAGGGTCATCTTGAATGCCTTCTATCGTATATTGTATTATGACCTCGTCTTCTATGTTACCTCTGCTACCAATTTCCCTCATCGTCAGCACATACTCCTGTACACTTTCATCATGTTTCTTCTTTCTACGCATCAGCATTTTATGTATTTCAGTGCTACTTATTTTATTTTCGAATTCCAAAATAAGTCTTTTCTTCAATAGTTTCCAACCATCAATTCTTTTTTCTGACTGAATATACGGTTTCGCAATACCTTTTAGGGATCGTTTGGCAAAAATTAACATTTGCAAATCATTCCATCCCATTAACTCAGAAATTTCCTCGAAGTCAGTAATCCATTTTCTTACCGGATAATCGTCTTTTCCGTCGAAGGGTCTTATGCTGTCTTCTACGTCTTTAAAAGTCAAAGCAAAAGAATCATTTACTTTACCGGCCGTCATTCTACCTGATTTTGTTTTTTTCTTCGTCTTTAAAGCCATCGTCGGCCTACTTTCAGTATCGTCCTCGTATTCATTATCGTCTTCATCGTCGAAACCGTCTTTATCGTCATAAACGTCTTTATCTTCGTCATAAGCTTCTTTATCGTCGTCCGCGTCGTCGTAATCATCGTCATTCTTGCTATCCACATTTAATTCATTCAAAAACGAACAAATACGTTCAATGACGTCGTCATTTGCACCCGAATAATCCAGATCCAATACGTTACAGACTGCAACTAAGTCTGGCATATCTAGTTTCTGTTTTATGTCGTTTATCGTATTAACATTCGCTGGCATTTTTATCCCACGCAAAGCCTGAAAAATTCCGTAAGTTCCTTCTTGTTTGTCGCGGCACCCCTTCATCTCCATATGCTACAATGTGCAACGTCTTAACAGCTTTATATGACGAATTTTTAATATTATGACTAATTTTTTGAAAATCGGTAAGAGTCGTTTGTTTAGACTGCATTTTAAAAATTGATATCAAAGTTATTCAAAAGAAAATTAAAAAGTTAAAAGCTTAGATTATTTTTCTGAGTGTAGTCTAAATTAGTATTATCGTGAACGAGGTTGTGGTCTTATCTTAGCTCTTTGTATTACTACAATAATCTAATAAGCCCAATAATATCTCAGAATAAAACAAAATATCCTTCTACAAGATTTGGATTTTAACATTCAAATTAAAATATTATTATAGAGACATTTATCAACTATCATTATCAAAATATAGTCCTCACATTAACAGAGTAAAGTTAAATCAACAAATATTTGTAAATACTTTAAAAGTTCTTTCCTAATGTTCACAGTTCAGGATAGAAAAGTAATCTTCGCACGATCTATTAAAGCAACAAAGTCACCTGACCATTTGTCGCCATCCAGTGGGTCCAAACATCCATAAACCATAAATTAATCTTATCGTCGTCTGCAAAGAGCCATTCGTCGTCAATCGTCACTATTACAGCAAGCCTCTTATCTTATACTACTTGATGATTGGCATATGTTACAAAAGTCACGTCGTTGATTCGATTTTGTTTTGCCGAAAACTGCACTGTCTTATTGCCCGTATCTTGCATCCATAATTCGCGGCACACAAATAAAACGTTAGTGTCCCTTTCGAAATAATCCCGGTTGTGACCCCAAAAATGTAGGTCTTAATTAATGTTCTTTTATTATTTGAAAGGGAACTAACGTTAGAATAAAAGTCCGCGATCCCTATGAGACGTCTTTATTACATAACAATAAACTGTAGGGGTGGTATTTACAGGTACACAAAATTACAAGATTACGGATAATTGTCTGCGAATTAAAATATCGGACACCCCGTCGTTAATAGTTTTCGTCTTATCTCTGGCGGTCGTTGCACAATAATTAACCTTCACCGCGCGAGTCAAATATCGAATCCCTTTTAGGTCAGGCATATGTGATTTTGTCTATATTTTTTCTGTCCCTTTCCCCGCGACGGCGACCAGTCTGGGGCGCCTTAAGAATATGGTTTTAGTGGTATCTCGCAGTGGCGTAACTACAAATAAAACTATGCTAAATACTTAATATAAGAAATATTTCCTACATATATATATATATATATATATATATATATATATATATATATATATATATATATATATATATATATATTCTCCAACCCTAGATAATTTGAACCGCAGACTGCATTGTAAGACTTCTCATGGATGGCGATGACGTCTAAATAGATGATCCGGTTACCTTCGACATGAAGATCTCTCATAAAAAATATCGTCCACTCCTCCCTCCAATCAAAACCCCGCCGTTAGAATTGTTCGCGCCAACCCCCAACCAAATTACGTCACCATCGATGGTCTAAACGAACCGTCCGCTGTTCCCAGTAGTGATCCCACATTGATTAGTGATCAGTGTAGTAGTGTTTTGGCACTTGGGAGACTGAGACCTCGAAAGCCCCTAAGAAAACTTCAAAGAGGATGTCGAAAGACATGCGTGGTGATAATCGATGAGGTTCAACCTGGAAGCCTGTTGAGTTTAATATTAATTCTTGTAATAGTATTAATTTTAGCTTTGTACTAACCGCGGAAATCTTTCGGAACATTATATATATATATATATATATATATATATATATATATATATATATATATATATATATATCTCATGTAGTGAAGTTCTGGGAGACATTCGTTTTACTTTCCGAGTTTTAATTTGTATCAGCCCAAGTGTCTGACGATGGCTGGGATAGGCCGAAATGATCATAACACTTTAGTGATACCGATTCGAGCACGGGAAGTTTAACGAATTTGTCTCCTAGGCCATATATATATATATATATATATATATATATATATATATATATATATATATATATATATATATATATATATAACATGTTGATTTTAATGGGAATTACATTTTACATTTCCTTGACGCTTAAAATAAAAACTATTAATATTCATTTACTATTTTTATCGGAAATCAACCACAATTTTAGTTTACAATAAATTTATTTTAAAGTTACGATTTCTACTTCGAAAGTCGAAATTGAAAACAAATATATTCTCAAAATACGACTGGAAATCGAAATCTCAAAATAAATTTATTTTAAAGTAAAATTGTTGCTAACTACCAGTAAAAATAGTAGATTTTATAAAGACGCCAAGAGAAAATATCTTCAAAACAAAAATTGTTAACGATCTTAACCTGTAAATGTTTATAATTGGCGGTAGGTAGTAATATCAATTTGAGAGTGGACAGTTTCAGAACCTCAATATTATTAAGGGTTAAAATTATTGTAGGATACTCATTAAAGCGTTCCGCAAAGGGTTAAAGTATATCCAGGTTTGAATATGGAATTATTTGCTCTTTTTTTCCAATATTTTATCCACAATTAGGCTGTTATTGTATGATAAATTTACACTAATTTCTTATGATAAGGTTGGAGTATGTAAATATGGATGTACGACGTATATTAAGCGATGCTGTATAAAGCAAATAAAATAAAATATTAATTGAGTATAGAGTTGGTTGTTATATACCTATTGGTGTCAATATCAACAAGTGAGTTATGACCTATAGTATCGGGAATGGGCAAAGGTTTAGCTACACCTATTCTAACAATTCCTTTTGGAGCACCTTTGAGAGCCTGAACAGCTTGATCAAGTGAAGCATTCTCTAATACTGTATCATTAACAAATAACAAGCGATCCCCAGGAATCAATCTACCATCAAGTTGCGCTACACCACCAGGTACTAAACTTCTAATCACAATAACAGTATCATTAGGATCTATAGGATGCTGATAATCTAAAATAGAGAACCCTAAACCACGTTCTCCTTTAACTAATTCAATTACTTGAGGATCTGAACTCCACATAGCTAATCCCGTTAATGGTTCTAATGAGCGAGACTTCATCTTACTAAAAGCTTGGTCAGAAGATCCTAAAATGGTAATACTACTGGCTAAAGACCCATCAGATTTTGCCTTTACTAGTCGATCAGACACAGGGAGAAGATTATGCAGACTCCGATTCAAAGATCCTCTGTCTGCAATTGGATCATCACGTTGAGCTAACAAGTTAAATGGATTTCGACCACACACCATACACACATTAACGGGCAGTTCCTTTAAAATGCTTACTACTTCATGATGATTCATTCCTAATAGTGTATGGTTATTCACTTCTAACAACTCATCCCCTGACCTTAAGATACCATTTCTTCCCACAGGACCTTCGGGAAGTATTGATCGGATATAATGATGGGGTCGAACTTCCTGTCCATCTTCTACATCAACCGTCCCTTCTAAACTGATACCTAATCCACCCTTCTCTGCAAATTTGGTTAACTGTGCTATGATTATCTCGGTGTCTGGACCCATGACCTTCTGCCAATTCTTCCGGAGAGCCTTTTCAGTAGTTGGGGACAGAGGTTCACTTTTTACATCATTGAGCGGTTCTTTGTGCATCTGGCCTGATTCGTGATTACTACTGCCATTTAGACTCAATATTCCATCTTCTTTGAGAAATCTGAAATTTACATAAAGATGGTAAATTTAGAAAAAAAATGGAAACGATATCCAGACACCGTGATTAGTACACATGAGGTATGATATTATAACTAGGGTTAATGTGAGTTAGGCCTAGATATAGGAAAATGTGTTCAGAATAAAAAGGCAACTAATTAAAGGGGTAGAAACAGCTTCTCTATTACCGTGGCACATCAGGAGGCGATGCAGATTTTATCTCACTTGCAGCAATTGCTTGTTGTAGTTGCTCATATTTTGGCCCATGGAGATATCTTTCTAGACATAATTTGACAACATTTCCTGAATTTCTTAACACCTCAACAGCTTGAAAGTTACTATATCCTTGTAAAGTCTGGCCATCTACTTCCACAATCCTATCATTGACTTTAATTTTACCACTTAAATCAGCTGCACTACCTTTACTGACGCTTTTGACAAAGATACCTGAGAGTTCTTCTTTTTCACAAACATAACCAGCTATTGTAATACCTAAACCATTGGCATCTTTTTTTAATTCAACAACAAACTTTTCCATTTCTGGCATTTTAACAACCATGTCCAAATTTAACAAAGGCAGTGAAGGTGAAGCAGGAACCCGAGAAAGTCCAGAAATTCCATATGGCATAGACAAATCTGCTTGAAACAATTCTGTGTTAATGCTTTTTTTAAATACAGGGGCATACTTATGTTGCACCAGATATTTATCTAATTCGGTGCAATCATGAAGCAGTCTAGTGGGAACTAGAGGAGCAGAACTTCCTAAATATTTGTATTCGGTTGAAGATATATCTACTGGTCGGGCTACTATCAATCTAACACGGGTACCAGATTGTCTTAAAACAGAAGCTACTTGTTCAGAATTCATTTCTTGGAGATTTACTTCACCTATCTAAAACAAAAAAGAACAATTACAGTGTTTTAAAATATACAGTCTGACATTGAAAATGCAACACTCCGTAAATATGGGGTGTGTAGGTTTGTCAGGACAGTTTCAACCTGGAGTATAAGGGGTGCGTGACACTCGGGAAGCAAGTCAAGGAAATAACCCAAAATCCAGCGAAAGAGACGAACAATTATATGGAAAAGCTACTACTCCACTGCTAAACATGTTGCGTGAGTTACCCACAAAAAAAAAGGAATTTAAAATATAAACTCTTTGTATACAACTTGTTTACCAGTGTTAACCTACTGTGGAATACCCGATAAAATGGTATTTGGTGCACCGGTACCATTCGTGAAAATCGTGTATAGTATACCTTTTACCTCGAAAACTCATTTTCAAAAAAAGGCAGATCGAGGTGATTGGAGTGGCCTTATTGAACGAAACAATGGTATAATTGTTGTGTACATGTACGACAATAATATTGTTACTCCTGTCTCTACCTCTTACGGCATCCAATGACACTTGTTATCAAAAAGAGAAGAAAATTAAAAACTTCCTTTGTAAAGTGGTATAAAATTTTTAATAAAAGTTTAAAATTATTAAAAATGGAATTATAAATTTTCAGGACGTTTTCGATCCTATCAGATCTTTATCAGTTAAAAATGTTTATAAAGTAATTGGAACTAGCCACAAAATAAGGTCAGATGACTTTTAAATTACATACTTAGAGTAACAAACATTATAATTCTTAAGACACTAGATCGATGATTAAGAAATTACATTTTTTAAGGGAACGTACAAATTCTCGAAAATCGAAAAAGGGACTTACGCCTTAACAACCAATTAATTAGAAAAAATTATTCAAGTATCTCGTCCGTGCCTCATAGGAAAATATAACTCATCGATGGGAGGGACGGACTCAAAGTATTAAAATCAAAATATAGGTGGATACAGGATTGGTATTAGATCAAAAAAATGGGTGGTGGCTATTATTTACATGGTTACTAGACGCTTCATTGGAAAACGCTTGGCATATTTATAAGAAGACCTGCAATTCAGTGAAACAAATCGACGTTCGCAGAGATATAGTCACCTCATATCTTATGAAGTATGGTATAGAAGCTAAAGGTGCAGGTCGACCAAAACCTTAAATTTCAAGCAGTTTCGGTAGATGCACCAGCGACACCTGTTACGTTTCAAATTTAAAGTAGAAAGACCCACCTCTATTTTCAAAAATTTAAACAATTCTAGACGTGTAAGATCGGTTGCCTATAATATATTATAAGCAAGGTGGCGAAAATAAAATTAGTAGTTTTCAAATAGGGGTAATGTCTGGCAAATTGTGCTGAAGTTAAGGGGGAAAATGTCCTCTTTTTGTGAAGAAATTAATTTAGATCGTTCTTTCTAGAGTTATCTTGGAAGAATTGGGATCACAAAATTTAAATGTTTGAATCTCGGTATTATTTGGTGGACTCCGTGTGTCAAGTTGTCAAGTGTTCGGGAAGACGACGGAAAGGAAGTGATTCTAGGTTTGACCGCGGCACTGAAAAGTTCGGGCTGGTTTCAAAAACGGCATTTTTTTTTGTTGCTGTTCCATGTGGTTTCTGGATTAGTACGAACCGTATGGATATTCAAGGAGATTTACTGCCTCTATGGAAGAGTTTTTTTGGGAATATCTACAATTTCGCTAAAAAAAGCGGATCTACAGTGCACGTGACTGCCGGAGTCGCATTTAGATCAAGCGATTAGACTTAATCATGAGTCCGAATAGCTGACTACGTTTCGGTCCAATTTGGGATATTTCAAACCCCTAATCTGGTTAAGAAGGGTGAGTGTTAGAACATTTCGTTTTTAATTAATTGAAAAGTTGTAGCTTTTTTTTATCCCATATCTTAAAAGGTATTCATATTTTCATAAGTTGTGATACATTCAAGTTCAAAGAAAAGTTTTTTTTTGTATTGCTCCATTATCGCTAAAAGGCAGATAAACAAAGTGTTAAAATCAATATATTAATTTCCAAGTAACTATTTTAGACACGTATAGTAATTAGAGTTTTCTTGCTTCAGGGTTCTTCTTCTTTTTCAGTCTGGCTGTAATTTTCAACTTTTCAACATTGTCATACAAGTCTCGGCAATCGTATTTTTGGAGTTCCTCCTAAGTCGCAGTGGATTTTACGAATGGTATTTTTGGATTGAAGACACACTGAACTTTAACTAGAATCACACGCGGTGAAGTATATGAATGTGATTGAAAATTCGAGGTATGGATCGATAATTAATTTTCGACGGAAGATTTAAGCGCCGTCTAATTTGTTTATGGGATACAACAGTTTTTTTAAGATTATTTGCGGTTTATTTGAATAATTAAATATTTACACATACCTATTAGAATTTTGCAAACTGAGTCTAAGGAGGGGTTAAATATTTGAGATAGATTTATTTTTTTTATATTATTTTCTAAGCACGCATTTGGGCTCTCGTGGTGTTCTATTTGGGTTAATTATTTTTTTGTTGGTATTGAACCAGACACCCCTTAGTGTCCGGTGCTTTTGATACGTCTTACCTTTTTTTCGTGCAATTTAATAAAAATAACTTATGAATTTTTATTAGGCAAGTAGAAGCCGCATTTTTATATCTTTTTACTAAGCCTATGGTAAAGTTAAGTAATATTGTAATATGTGTTTGTTTTCAGATATCTACCATTTATTAAAATTGACTAAATCCTGATCTCAGACAATTTCATTAATTTTTTTATTTATTCAGGTTATATACTATAGTTAATATTTTAGTAGTAAACCTATTAGCAAGTTGGTGGTTTATTGAATAGTAACGTAGGAAAGGCTGTGGGAAAATTTACCTAGCGCCCCCGATATAACTTCGGATTTTTTTTTGTTTTGTGGACCGCACGACCATCATTCCCAGACTGTCACCGTATAGTACTTTTCTTTCCGGGTGTACGTCTGATTTATATGTGTTACATTTTGTAACTTTTCTTTATATAGATTGGGTTTTGTACGCCACACACAGTCAGATTTGACGGACAAGATCACATCTTTATTTACATTCTGAACAAGAAAAGTGTGATTTGGGGTTGTGCATTGATTGTAATGAGCAGTTTCATACAAGATAATTCTCTATCCAGGTCTACAATATTTTATGCTTAAATATATTATTTATATACCTTTACCATTTTTTGTTATTTTGCTCCATGCCCTCTGGAGTTGAATATAAGTAACAGCTGATAACATAGTGACAAATTTTTTTTTGAAAATAACCTCAGAAACTCGACCACATGGCTCATACGAACCATAAGTTACCATAAAATATGACTTTCCAAAAATATAATAATTCAGGATATAAGGGTTTTAATGTTACTCCGCCAAGTTAACCGTTCTTCTAAGGTCAGCAAGATCACCAAACTTTTCTCCCATTGACCATATATTTATGTAGGATACGATAGACAGAAGGTTGGGCAGATAGTCTATTTTACCGATGGATTTGCAGCACCTTCGGAATGAGTTTCAGAATGCTTGGACCTCTATACTGAAGGAAGATATCAATGCGATATATGCTTCGAAAGAGGTTATCTTTCAAAGCATACATCGCAGAATAGACGAATGCATTACCTCCAACTCATTTTTTATCTTAATTTTAAGATTATGAGCTAGTCTAATTGTGAGAAAACTGAATCAATTGATACATTATATATACCCATTTTAATACCAAAAAATTATTGCAATATATTTATATTTACTGAGTGTTCCATTTTTAATGTCAGTATATTACAAGTATATTGTATGATTACAAAATTGAAAGTTCTATTATTAAAAATTACCTGTAAAATGTGATCACCACTTTGTAATCTACCATCCCGATCTGCTACACCTCCAGGTAAAATTGTTTTGACTACTACTCCCATATTCCTCATTCCCAAAATGCCAAAACCTAGTCCTGTACCATCATTGATTAGGTCAATACTCTCAACTTGAGACCATTCGCTATTTATTAAATTATCTGGTTCATTTTTAGAATTATTGCTTCCAACAGACGGAGATCGATGAATTATATCTTCATCATTAAAGACAGGATTATTTTGCAGTACTTGTAATGACTGAAATAAGTAATTAGCTTAGTTTGTAATTCATGACATATACAAATAAAAGCTGCAACAATGTAAAAAAAATAAAGCATAAAAATGTTTAGCTGCCACACAAAAATCAAACATTAGTAATTTGTTAATGTTCACAATAGTTCAGGTTAGAAGATCCCTAGATGCTGTGAAAGCATCGGAAAACATATATTTTTACATGTAGCTTCTTACCTCTTTTATGTACGGAAAATTTTCTCATTTAAATTAATATTAAAAATAATTATTTTCTTATATTTCATTTTGTTTACATTATGTATTACTGTTGTAAACAATACGTTCACAACACACTTTGTTTAACTGTTTTGATTCCGTTTCATCCACCATTACGTGCTTCTAACACAATTTGTTATTTCTGTACAGTTCTTTTATGGTATTATTTTAACTACGGTAGTGTACATTCGTCACAGAAAATATTTTTAAAATAATATATAAAGTAAATGTTTTATGACTTTAATTAATTACTTGCTTTGACTTTTACAGAAAGTAAAAATAATTAATATGTGACCATAACTAACAATAAAGTTACCTGTCGACATTCAACAACAAATAATATACAAGCTTATACAGTGAACGGCTAAATTATGGAATATTATCATTATTTCGAGAACCGTCGACTTTTGACGGAAATCCTGAAATAGGTCGATTTTTTTTATAAAATACCCATCTTATAAAGTACATGGAGTAGGGATAACATCACCGGTGTGATCACAACAGGAGAACGTTATTTAACTTTTTTGAGAAATCAACTTATACCTGTCCTTACTAACATGTATCCACATGCCAATAACCCAAATTTGCCTAGTGAAAATATCTGGTTTCAACAAGATGGAGCCCCTTTGCATTACGCAAGTGAAGTACGTCAATTTTTAAATCAATGCTTTTCCAGGAGGTGAATCGAAAGACGAGGTTTTATAGAGTGGCCAGCAAGGTCGCCAGATCTAACACCTCTGGAGTTTTTCCTGTGGGGTTACATAAAATCAAAAGTTTATGTCAATAGACCCCAAAACTTACAGGACTTGAAAGATAGAATTAGGCATGAAATGAGTCTAATTACTCCAAAAGTCATCCGCAATGTACTTGATGAATGTGTCCGTAGATTCGCATATTGTCAAGAAACCGATGGATGGCATTTCGAACATTTAATTTAAAATAATTATTATGCATAATTTGGTTACTTTGCATAATTTGGTTACTTTAAAGTACATCATTAATTAAATCATTAGTTGTAATTTAGTTGAATTTAAATGAAAAAACATTGTTTTTGTAGCCATAAAAAAATATTTTGGTTAAAAATGTAATGTCGTTGAATAGATAATTAAATTCTCCCTCAAATGAGCTTTCGCATTATACTGATTTCTATTTAAAAAAACAACGATTACGTCACTACACCCACACCGGTGACATCATCCCTACTCCATGTACGTTATAAGATGGGTATTTTATAACAAAAATCGACCTGTTTCGGGATTTTCCTCAAAACTCGACGGTTCTCGAAATAATGATAATATTCCATAATTTAGCCGTTCACTGTATATTATTATTTCTGAATATTCCATGAAACGAAGCATTTAAAATTTGAAAATTAACTGGGCGCTATTTTTTAACTGGAATATCTAAGGGAAGTCAATATTGTGAAAAAATGGGAAGTCAATATTGGGAAGTTTATTTCAATATTGTGAAAAAACTTCGCGTTCTACATGAAAACGTTCTACAGTTGACTTTGTAGAAAAAACTTGCCCTTTAAAATGAGATTTTCTAAATTAAAAAATGTTTATAAACAAAAAAGTTATTGTAAATTAAACCCGAAAGTAAGCATTTTTTCAATTGTTTATAATTATTAAAATAAACAATAAAAACATTTAAAACACATTTCACAATGTGAGTTTTTATGCAGTTATTATATTTGCGAAAGATGAGCCATATCGGTTTAATAGTTTTTCAACAATTCTGATTTTTTATCCCATTTAAGAGAAAAAAAGGTCTATTTTCACATGGCTGTACAGATGCTTTGTCAATACTTAAAGTCTGCTTTTCTTCATAAGATCTCAAATTTTCATGTTTTTAAACAAGTATATTAATTTTTAATTGTTTACTTACAAATAATTGATGCAGAATGAAGTACCATTTTTCGGCTTAAAACAATTTCAGAGATATTTTTTATTAAATTCACAGCGCAATTGTTAATAAACATTAAGAGTTGAAATGGCAGTTTGTCAATGAAGTTTCAGTTTCATTTAAAATTTAATAAAGCTTAATATATGCCTAATTAACATTGCGGAAACTGATTTAAGTAAATAAACAAAAAGAAAGACCGCTTGGTGGTGGAAATGTCTTTTAAGCTCATGAAAAATGAAAACTGAACTTCAAAACGGAGGGCGCATGAAAAACTACAATATCTCGGGTTTTACCTACGTAACATAGAACCTTCTTTTTTTATTATTTGAGGTATCTCGTCTATAAAACCACCACCTACTCCTAAAAATTATGACAGAGATACCTCAGATAAGGTGACTGGTAAAATAGGAAGAATATAGGAAAAAAAAATGGTAAACTTATAATGAGAAAAATCAAATGGGTGAAAACAAAAATGTTTTTTATAAATAAAATTGGTTTTTCATTAGGATTCAAACATTGTATTCTTTGAAAATACAGGGTACGGCAGATAACCGGCCAATTAGAAATATCTCGAGAACTGAACTGAATCATGAAAATTGAAATGAAGGGGTTTTGAAGAGTGACCTATGTGAAAATATTTTTATCTATTTGCTATTTCCGGTTATACCGGAAAGTTGTTTATAACTTCGTTTTTTAATGGGACACCCTGTATATTTTTTTAACTTCAGAAATATTCACGTTACTTTAAACATTTTTTATTAATACCCTATACCTATACCTATCAACCAATCCCTATACCTATTGTGAACCGTTTTTGAATAATGGTTTTTATATGAAAATTACACTTTTCTACCACATTTATAAAGTTCCAATGTAATTTGAATAAAAGTTTAAATTCCTTAGGAACTTATTGACCACATACAGCATTATCGTTTACAGTGTCAAGTTGCCTTTTTCATTATACAGGGTGCTGTCAAAATTGTCATAAAATGGACATCCTAAATTTTTGCCCAATTCCTTTTTTTTTCAAATGGGAAACCCTGTATGTGATTAATAATTTTAGAAAAATATGTGTTTCACTATCGATTTGTTTTAGTATTCCCTTTCCCTCTTGCAGTTTTTAAATAAATTAAATTTGTACATTTTTTCAATCACTTATGATTTGTACAATCATTTATGATCTCTTTTAATTAGATTGTCATTAGTAGCTCTTGATATTGATTCTTCATCTATTTCATATATATTTCATATATATTTCATATATATATAGATAAGGGGGTGAAAGAAAATGGAAAAAGAAAATATAGATAAGGGGTTACATATAATTTTGAACTATACACAGCATACAATGAACTCGAGGTCATAACAACCATAAAGATCTGACGTCTGCGCTGGATGGGCCATGTTGAACGGATGTTGGAGACTGAAATACCAAAACATAAAATGAGCCAAACACCAGTAGGGAGAAGGTCAAAGTCCCTTGGGTCTAAGACCCAAACTTAGATACATGAAACAAGATCTGAAAACAGTTAAGATTACCAACTGGAAAAACAAAGCAAGGAACAGAACAGAATGGCGGAAAATCCTAGAACAAGCCAGGACCCAAAAAGGGTTGTCGAGCTACTGATGATGATGATGAAATCATTTTAGTTAAGATTATCATGTTGTGTTTGTAAAGTCCTGTGATTATAACACGCAGAATTGTTAGTTCTATATTAAAAAGCGATATTAACAAGTGAGCTTCTGTAGTAAAAAATGTCACAAACGTCTAATTTTACTCCTGTAAAATTAAAGTGTCATTTAACCGTGCCAATGAAAACTTTAGTGTCACAAAGCTCTTGTTCATGTACATTTTACAAGTACTGTTCGGAGTATAGTTTCTGAGTGTTCAGATATGACCAGAGTTGGAGAAGCAGCCATGTATAGACTTTTAAAGCAACGAAAGAGTGGAAGTATTACAGAAGCATCTAAAACGTCAACACAGAGAATACCCATTCATATAGACAGTACTGCGAAACAATCAATTCGAAAAAAAGTTCATTCCTACTTTGGATAAACTTTTAGTACACATTAGTGAAGACGAATCTTTGCCAAACTTGAAAAGAGATGAATTGTGGAAAACTTTAAGTGAGTTAGGATTCGTTTATGAATGAGAATAGAAATAGAAAATCTGCGCTCATAGAGAAAGAAGCAATTATTTGTTGGAAGAGGCAATATTTAAGGGAAATTCGAAAATTCAGGAGAAAAGTCAAAAACGTTTTTTTTTAGATGAAACAAGGATAAATGAATTTTAGCAAGATAAACTGGCAACAAATGCTCGCCAGGCATTTATAGAAGGTTCGTCTAAGGGCTTACAATTTTCAAATGTTAAAAGTCGTCGTTTAATTATCACTCATATTGGAGGAGATAAAGGATTTGTTGGTAGAGGCTTGTTAGATTTTATTTTAAATTCTACGAACGACTACCACGAAGAAATGACTGCTGAAATTTGAGGACTATTTCAGTCAAATGATAGATTTATTACTGACCAATTTTGTAATAGTCATGGATAATGCCAATTACCATTCAAGATTAAAAGGAACCTAGCACTACATGGAGAAAGCTAGAACTCTTGGATTGGCTAATAAGCAAATAAATAGTAGTGCTAGCATAAGGTTTACTGCAGCAATGCAAAAGAAACTGGAGTTAAAGTGTTGCGATTACCACCTTACAACTGTGAACTTAACCCCATAGAACTAATCTGGGATCAAATGAAGGAGTATATCGCGAGATTTAATACAACATTTAAACTTCAAGACGTTCGTCAACTATTATCTGACTCCATATCAAAAATTGTCAAAAAGCTAGACGTGTCATAGCAGAGGAAGAAACATTCTGGAAACTCGATATGTTAATAGACGATACAATAGAACTAATTTTTATTTCTGTGGGAAATAAAGAAACTGATGATGATGATGCCTCCTTATCGGAAGAAGACAACTTATGTATTTAGGTATGTAATTATATATTTATATTACTAATTATAAGTTTATATGACGCTAGTACCCACAATATAAGAAGGTATCAATTATTACGTTTTTTCTGCAGTGACCAACCCTGTATTCAGACCTTTGCTATAAAATTTGTGCTATCAATCATTATAAAATGTACTATGCATTCTGAAATTTTGCTCTTTGAAATTAAAGACTGAATTTTTGGTCTCATTATGA